TCATGCTTTTTAGAAGTCACTTGGTTTCCTCATCTATAAAATGTCTTCCCTGCCTCAAAGCACTATTGTAAGAATAAAAATAAGTAAATGTGAAAAGAATCTTCAAAAAGGTTTTAAAACCCTCCAGTGGTAAAAAGTCATTTTTTATTATCATGATGAGATAAAAGAGGCAGAATTTTCTGCATTATGTTAAGAGGTAAAATTATACATTAAAAAGGAGAACAAAAAGATCTCTCCACAGTCTTGGAGCACAGATTTGATGCTAGATTAGGCAGCTATTGTTTAATCAACAGGATTATTGTTCCTGGTGATCTGTCTCCTTCCTGGGGCTGGAACAGAGGCTGAGCCGACACCCATCCCCCATCGAGCTCCCCTAGCTCAAACTCCAAGGAGGTGTATTTTAATCTGCAGGCTACTTGAACTTGGTTAACATGGAGTTAGGTTGGAATAGGGTGCTACATTCTAATAATTATTAACAACATAACAAATTTCCATTCTCCAGGTGTTGAAAAAAAGGTAAGTTGTATCATTTTTTTTTAATTTCTAACGTCATTTCATTCAGCATGCTTCAGAATACAAAAACCCACATACTCCCACATGTCACATCACAGTGAGCAGTGTGAGGCAGAGGAAAGCCGAGAAAACTGCAGGGAATCTGCAAAGCAGGTGATTCACGTGCAGACGTTCAAGAATTTACTGCGACAACCATATCTGAAGACTTGGGATCAACACCAATTTATTTCTGCACACCCTTTGGCCTAGTGATTTTATTTCTAGGAATCTATTCCTAATAAAATACTACTCTGTGTGCCGGGATGTTTATGAAGTCATTTTAATAGCAAAGAATTAGAAACTCTAAATGCATCTATAGAAACATGAGGGCATAAGTTATGGTATATTTACATAATGGGGTATTATGTGGCTAAAAATGAGTGAGGTCTATCTATATAAACTTCTCACAGAGATCTCTAAAACAGCATTAAAAAAATCACTGTGGACTCTGGTGATAATAATGTGTCAATGTAGGTTCATCAGCTGAAACACAGAGTGGTTCATCATACCACTCTATGACAGATGGTGATAATGGGGGAGGCTATGCATGTGTGGGGGCAAGAGGTATATGGGACATCTCTCTACCTTCCTCTCGATTTTGCTGTGAACCTAAAACTGCTCTAAAAAATAAAGCCTATTTTAAAAACGAAAAGAAAAAGAGAAAAGCACATTACTAAGCACTACATAAAGTATAATCCCATTTGGGTAAACTATAAAGCAAAAATAGAGATGTATACACAGGCATATCTTGTATTATTGCACTTTGCTTTATTATCCTTCACAGATGTTGCGTTTTTTACAAATTGAAAGTAAGACCCTCCATAAGCAAAAAGTACCACTCCCGGGCCAGCCAAGTGGCTCAGTTGGTTAAGAGTTGGCTTAAGAGCACAAGCTCTGAGCAACAGGGCTGCCAGTTTGATTCCTACATGGGCCAGTGACGCTGTGCCATAGCTGAGCTGTCGCTGAGCTGCCAACAGGTGGCAGGATGGCTCAGCTGGTGTAACAACAAGATTGCCTGTTCCATGGTGGGCTATACCCACCCGCAACTAAGACTGAACTCAGCACTTTGAGCTGAGCTGCCGCCTGGATGGCTTAGTGGATAGAGTGTGCGCTCTTAACAACAAGGCTGCTGGTTTGACTCCCACATGGGATGGTGGTTACACCCACCTGCAACTATGATTGAACACAGCACCTTGGGCTTAGAGGCCACAAGCTGCCGACGGGAAGCCAGATGGCGACTGGCGCCCTCCACAACTTAGATTGAAGAACAACAACTTGGCAGGTCCCCTTCCCCAATTCCCCAATGCTGTTCCCCTCCCCCAATTCCCCAATAAAATCTTTTTTAAAAAGAAGTACAAATTGGTAGTTACAAAATAGTCGTGAGGATATAAAGTATAGCATAGGGAATATAGTCAATGATATGTTAATAACTATGTACAGTGCTACATGGGTACTAGACTAGTCAGGGGGATCACTTCTTACATTATATAAATGTCTAACCACTATGCTGTACACCTGAAATTAATATAAAATAATACTGAATGTAAGAAAAGAAAAGAAAGAAATCGGTGTAAATGGAAGAGGGCGCTCTGGAGTCACGGTGCAAGATGAGGTGACAAGGTGAGCAGGAACCCAACCGTGCAGGACTCCGAGGGTCAGATTCAAGATTTGGGTTCAAACATAATTGCAATACAGTTTTCAATGAGGGTCAGGCAAAGCAGTGATAGGATTGCATCTGATTTTTAAAAAGATCACATTGGCTACTGTGGAGAGCATATCAGGGGTCAGGAGTTAGGAAGACAAGAGTATGGATTTAATGAATTAAAATTAATTCAGTCTGATTGGGAGTCGATAGTGCTGTGGATGGAGAATGGTAAGAGATGAGGCAAGAGAGGTAAACAAGAGATCAGAGAGTATACTGTAATCATGTGGGAAAATACATAAACTATGATTAACAACGATACGCTGGGTCAACGTTTTTGAGAGATCTTAACTAAAATAGAAGTCAGTAGAGCCTGTAGGTGGAGCCCTCACACCCTGTCAGTGGTGGAAGCCCTACAGGAAGAACTCTGTAGTTATAACAGAGCTCTATTGTTATTACAGCCCCGTCCCTTCACTTCCTCTTTTTCCCCCTGAAAAGAACTTCCTTCTTCTTGCTCTCAGGAACTTGCATGTGGCTTGCCATGGATGCACATACAAAATTGCAATTCTTTTTTTAACCAAATAAATCATTTTTGCTGATGGAAAAAAAAAAAAGATAGGCTCCAAGATGAGCCAACTGCCAGTCATCTTTAAGTCAAATGTTGCGTCTAAGAACTAACCAGCTCAAATAATGTTTAAATCTTCAATTTTCTATTGGTTTCATCAAAGACATAATACAGCTTTTCCAAAAAAGAAGGCAGGAGCTGCTATGAGGTGCAAAGAGGTCTTTGAATCACAGTGGCAATAGGATCCAAAGGTCCTCACTCCTGTCTATTTTATTTGTTTTTGAAGCTAACGGTAAAAGGCAAGGATGGTGGAAGCTTTCTGTGCTACCTGGACGCCGACGGACAGTCAGAACTTTGAGGGGTACATAAGGGCTCTAGGTGTGGGCTTTGCCACACTAGGCAGGTGGGAAATGTGACTAAACCAACAGTGATAATCAGTCAGGAACAGGATAATCAGTCAGGATCAGGATTCAAAGCACATTCAAGAACACAAAGATTAGTTTCCATCTGGGAGAAGAGTTGGATAAAACTACTGCAGATGACAGAAACTGTAAGTCTGTTGTCATCCTGAATAGAGACAAACTCATTCACATACAGAAATGGGATAGCAAAGAAACAAATTTTGTAAGAGAAATGGTTATGACTCTTTTTTTTTGGTGATGTGGTTGCTCTTCGCCACTATGAGAAAGCATAGAAAGGTTCCTGATCTGGAGGTGGAGAAGCTCTACAATTTTTCTGTTTTCTCAAGTCTCAGTGCTACCCTGCTGTTACAGCATGGCTGATCACTAATAAGGTTATCAGGCCGGCCGAGTGGCGCTATGGTTAAGAACTGGCTTGGGACGCCAGAGGGCCCTGTTTCGGATCCCACATATGAGGGCCAGTGACACTGCCCTCCACAGCTAAGATGCTGAACAACAGCTCAACCTGGAGCTGGGCTGCCGTGAGTCGCCGGCGACGGCGTAGGCTGCAGCCCCTGTGGCAGTGGGTTGCGATGGGCTACCATGTGTAGCCAGCAACCAGCATGAGCGGACGTCCAGAAGCCGGCAACTGATCTGCCTCACCCAGGAAGAGCACAATGATGGTGCCAACTTGGGCCAGTGAAGCAACATCCTCCACAACTAGACTGAAGAACAAAAAGACAGCAACTTGTCTGTTCCCCTACCCCCAATTCCCCAGCGCTGTTCCCATCTCCCAATTCCCCAATAAAAAAAAAAAATCTTAAAAAAAAAAAAAACGTTATCATCCTTGGTATGGAACATGGTGATTTAAAAACTTGTTACTTTATAAACAGAAATGGTCTCAGAGATATAGAGGAACAACTGATGGTTGCTAGTTGGGAAGGGGTGGGGATGAGGGAGAAGGGGAAGGGATTAGACAGCATAAATAGTTAGCTACAATATTGCCACAGGGATATGAAAGACAGTTCAAGGAATATAATTAATAATGTTGTAAATATTTTGTAGGGTGTCAGATAGTCACATGTCTTGCTAGGGAGACCGCATCATGGATGGGGAAGAGGCTTGATCACTGCACTGTACACCTGAAGCTGATGTTGTATAATATTGTATGTCAACTATAAGTGAATATATATATATATAGTCATAGGACGTGGAGTATAGTGAGGGAGTGGAGTCAAGGGAATTGTAATAGGTATGTATGATATGGTGGGGGAAGTGGGGCGGCGGATTGGGGGAGGGGGGTTGTCACTTCGAGGGGTAAAAAGTATAACTATTAGCTGAAACTAATTCTAAAAAAATGTATAATAAAAAATAATAATTAAAAAAAAAACTTGTTACTTTAAGCAACTAGCCCAATTTTGATCTGCAAACTTATCATGTTTTATAGTTTACATTAAAATTTTAAGCTACATGTTTAAAATTAAGAAGTGAATACAATTTATAATTTCCATTGGAATGTAAATCAAATTGGAATAAAAATCTTATGCCCAAGGGAATAAAAAAACCATAATACAGAGTCCTACTGAACTGTTGCTAAGAAAGTAAATTGAACAGGATTGCTTTAATTCACATGATTAAACTAAAGACAAAAATGCTGTAACTTTATCATAACTTTAAATTATATATATATATATATCTCATTTATTGAAATATAAAGATCTTCATTTACACGTTTAAAACAAAAAACATGAACAGGGGCATTTGTAATACATTTTGCATTGTTAGACCCTTCCTATGAAGTTAGTTGTCTCACACATTCACCACAACACTGTTTTGGGAACACTTACGTATTTTTCTCTTTATTATTTCTAAAATATAAATTTTGGACATTCAAAAGTGCAACAGTTAATGTGCCTGTGGGGAATATCACAGTTAAAAAAATATAAACAAAGGCAGTGATACAGCTTGTCATAAATGTTTTGGCAGTATTCTCCAAGTCTATATAGAAATACATATATACATATTGATGTATAACATCATTTTATCTTACGTCCCTCTTCACAAAAATAGGACCATTTTGTTACAGATTGGCAGACCACATTTTAAGGACATCATTGATCATTTAAAAAGTCACAAATTGTGTTTCTCAAGCCAGCTTTGATTGTCTTCAGAAAAACAGAAAGCAGGAAGGATTGGCAAATTTTCATATAGGGATTTTGCAGGAGGCCATAAAGGAAACAAATCTGTGATACACTGGAAAAAACTGTTTAAAAAAAAATGCAGTTGCACACAAACTCCAGTGGGAGCGTTCATTAGGACTGGAAGCTGCTGGTCTGGGAATTTTCATCCAGCCTCATGATGTCACACAAGACTCAAAGGAACATCAAAATGCAAAAGTACCAACACAAGAAGGCTGTACAAGGGAAAGTGAGTGATAAACAGAATGCTTGAGCTGTGATTCTAGAAACACAAATGTATTTCAAGTCTAATTGGCTCTACAGAACCTAGTCAGGTTTTCTTTTTTTAATTGGCCAATCTGGCTCAGTCTTCATACTATGAAAAAGGTGGATAAGAAAGTTGGAGCTTGCATTGAGATTGCACCAGTAGGTAGTCAAGTACCTTGTTATTGCTTCTACATCTTCCAAAGCATCACCTGCCAGGAGCACATACAGTGATTGCAGTAATCACAGCCCATGTTTCATTCATATGGTATCAGCGATTAAGAGGTACTGCAAAGAATGCCAATGAACCCCCACCTACCAGGTTGACAGTTTGGATGGATGTGACAATTTGTCTTCCCATCTAACCCCAAAATATCAGTAAAACTTTTTTTTTTCACCAAAATACTGACCTGGTTATAGAGACCTGGCACACTGAATTGCATTATTTTTGTACATGCATTTTGAGGGGCTCGAGGGAGGGTGTTCAGTGGGAAGCAGTGTCTGTTTTTAGAAGACCTGCCAAACCAAGATTTAGCTTGCTCAGCCTCAGCGAAGACTGGGAAGTTAAATTAAGGGTAGCAGTTGCTAGTTATATGGCATTAAATCTCACTGACCCAAAGCCAAAGATTTAAATAGTAGGCTTCCTGCATGGTTGACTTCTAACCCAGCTCTGAATTCCAAATTATTTTTTTCCCATGGCAGTTTCCTATAACCTAAGCCAGTGTTTCACAAACCTGGCTGATCAGAACAGCCAGGGTGTTTATAAAAATACAGGTTTCTGCTCTCCCCAGACTTAATAATTCAGAATCTCTGGGATGGGGTCCTAGAATCTTGAGAGTCTGGTGGCCAGTTCCCTTTGGGAACCAAGGATCCAGATTAAGGCACACACAGCCTTCACTAAACAATGCCTTTATGGTCTCAGAATTTCAAACTATTTTCTTTGGGGTAAGAGATAAAGGAAGAGGGCTCGTGTTCAGGGCATTCTTCTGGCTCTTTTGGGTTCATAGGATTTAAAAAATATAATATGTTGGGATGCACCGAAGGTGAGAGCTACCAAAGTTACCACCAAGCATGAAAAAACCTCTGCAAATCCCATCTGTTTGCTGATGATATTTTCCACTAAGTAATAACATGAGAAGTCATGTTACACATAAGCTTATGCCTTTATACAATTGAGAACATTTAGGATTTAGGGGTTTTGCTTGTTTGTTTCAAATCCCATTACTTCCGAGGGTAGTTAATTGTTTTTTAGCACAACGGGTTAGGGAACCTATTCAGTACACAGTTAAAAACTCTGACTTCCTGGATGACACTACTTTTACTTTTTTCTCTATGCTCAACTAAATTTAACCCACTAAAACTATTACCATATTTTATAGAGAAACATATGTTATTTCATATAAATGTCAAAAACTGTCAAACTTGTCACCTACTTAGTAAGGATTTTTTTTTTAAATTGTGCTTTCTCTGTAGGGAAAACGTGTTACATATTACACATTTAACATTACTGATAACAGTAGTATTATTATAAACGTAGGTTACAATATAAAAATGAGTTGTTGGGCTTCTAAATGACCCAAATCTATTAAACAAGGTTGGTTAATCATTACTTTTTATCTCTTTAATGCTAAAAAAAGTAAAATGCTATAGTACCAGTACCTTTTAAGGTTCAAAAGTGGTTTTGCATGTACTTCATAAGAAAATTCCACAGCAGCTGATACCAGGTTTCAGGCAGGAAGTACATGGATGGGTGAAGTGGTCGGTCTCTTCAGAGGTCCAGAGAAGATAGTTAATACAAATCTAAACACACCTTGGTTAGAGTTATTTACATAATTACAATGCTGGAATTTTGTCACAACAAAAATTGTGTACGGTGGAATCTCACCAATGCCCTTGAAACACAAAGTTCGTCTTCCGCAGCCCATTATTTCCTTGTCCATCTACCTCCAAACTTCACGCACTGAGATGCTACTGAAGCACTGCAAGAGGCAATGCTGAAAAAGTTCATTTCCAAATATTCCATTCACTCATATTTAGAAAGCTCCCTGAGGCCCTTGGCTGGGAACTTCTCTTTACACATCATCCAAGTCCTCCTCTCAAACTTTGCATTGCAATAAAGTGGTTTTCTTGAAAGGATTCAAGGTGGCCCCAGGAGTGGAAGGTACCCCTTGAATCCGTCAGTTACAGGAAGCTGTCCTCCACCAGATCTGAGGAGTCTATGCCAATGTCATCCATCATGTCGATGTCCTCAATGGTCTCATCCTCTCTCTTGATGAAGGTAGAACTGCTGGAACCTGTCTCAATGGCACTCTCTTCAGAGGTCTGTGAGCTAGAGGAAGAAAAGAATAGGAAAAGTTGGTACAAACCAAGTAGACCCTGGTGGTGTTTCTAGGGTGACCTCCCCAAAGGCAAAGAAGGTCTTCCTGCAAGGTCCTTGGCATTCCAACTCAGGCTACCCAGTTGGGCAAGATTCTGCCACCAAGGCAGACAGCTACTCGTCACCCATCACACTGCAGGGGCCCACATGGAAAAACCAAGATCCATAGGTCATCTCCACTCTCCAGCTTCCCTTCTCTTCTGCCAAATCTTTCGTCAAACTTGCTAACAAAGCTGCGACCATTTCTATTGTCCCTACTCAACTTAGCCTATAAAAATGACATCTAGGGGATCCTAGAGCTGGGATGCTCTGGGTCTAGCAGTCAGGAGTTGGCATGGTAGCCCTGCAAACCCTCTCCTCAGGCTCAGGGTGCTTGGCTCTGAGAAGGGAGTGGGCATGAGGAAAACAGGGCTAAATTTAAATGCTGAATTTGAAACCATAATATGACTATATGAGGGATAGGACCTTTAAAAAAGGTACTTCAGGTTAAATGGGGTCATGAAAGCGGGGCCTTAATCCAACAGGATATTGTCCTTATAAGAAGAAGGTGAGACACCAGGAGTGCTTGCACATAGGAAAAGGGCATGTGAGGACACAGTGAGAGGGTGGGCCATCTGCAAGCCAAGGAGAGGTCTCAGGAGAAATCAAACCTGTTAATACCTTGATCTTAAACTTTCAGCCTCCAGAACTGTAAAACAATAAATATCTGTTGTTTAAACCCCCGTGTGTGGTGTTCTGTTATAGCAGCCTGAGCTGACTAAGACACACACCATGCTCAGTGTGCCTGTCAGGGCCACAGTCTCACCTGACCTCATGTAGTCATTTATGTGATTCAAAGATCAAATGTATCACCCTAGTGGAAGTTCTAATTATCTAGTACAATAACTGCCTATCAACTAGAATTATGGAAGAATTCTGTGAAATATGTGTCAAATTCTGTAGTCCAGCCTCCTGCACCCCTAGAAAAGTTCTAGGCACCTTTCATATGTTATTTATCCCAATGTGGCTTTCTAACTTTATTTAGAAGCAGAATCCTTTTTATAATTGAAGTATTATTCAGAGCCCACAAACCTAAAGTAACCAGATAGATGACAGGTCTGTGTTGGAGCATGCTGCTCTGCCTTCCCCCACCTCCATGAAGTTCTAACATAAATCCCCAAAACTTGGACAACCACTGTTTGTTAGAGGAATATAAACACATTTTCTCCTGAGAAAAGGATAATTAGAAAAGTAAATCAGATAGGCCACTTTACCCCGTCTCCAAATCTCATAGGACATTTGAAAAACAAAAACTGTACTTTCCAAGTTACCTGGTACATACACATCAGCCAGGGCTGTCTATACCTTATACTGCGATTGGCTGAGAGCAGTCACAATCATAAGCCTCCAAAATAATAATGTCAGGGCCGGCCGAGTGTCGTGATGGTTAAGAACTGGCTTGGGACACCAGAGGGCCCCGGTTCGGATCCCACATGGCCAGTGACTCTGCCCTCTACAGCTAAGATGCTGAACAACAGCTCAACCTGGAGCTGAGCTGCCGTGAGTCGCCTGCCGGCTACAGCGTAGGCTGCAACCCCTGCTGCAGTGGGTTGCCATGAGCTACCGTGTGTGGCCAGCAGCCAGCGTGAGTGGCCGGCAGCTGGTGTGAGCTGCTAAGGGCCGCTGTGAGTGGCCGACCGGAGGCCGGGGAGTGACTGCCTCACCCGGGAAGAGCGCAATGATAATACCAACATGGGCCAGTGAAGCGACATCCTCCACAACTAGACTGAAGAACAAAAGGACANGGCTGAGTGGCACATTGGTTAGGAGTTTGCCTGGAACGCCAACTCTGAGCAGTAGGGACCTGGTTCAGATCCCACTTATGAGGGCCAGTGACGCTGCGCCCTCTACAGCTAAGATGGTGAACAACAGCTTGATCTGGAGCTGGGCTGCCGTGAGTTGCTGGGGATGGCGTAGGCTGCAGTGGGGCTGGCCAGCAGCGGGTGAGCCAGCGAGCAACTGCCTCAGCCGGGTCGAGCGCAATGATAATACCAACATGGGCCAGTGAAGCGACATCCTCCACAACTAGACTGAAGAACAAAAGGACAGCAACTTGTCTGTTCCCATTCCACCAATTCCCCAGCACTGTTCCCATCCCCCCAATTACCCAATAAAAATCTTTAAAAATAAAAAATAATAATAATGTCATGTGTTTCTGCCTAAATAATTGTATGTCAACTGAATAACTGAGGGAGGGAAAACAATATCCTGAATGAAGAGGGGAAAAAAGAGACTCAAAGCAGCTTGTTGGATCTTGAACCAAGACCTTTCTCCTGCCTATGCAAAGACAGCAGGATTGGGGCATTCCATCTGGACTGCGTAAACCAATGGTTCTAGTCCTGGCTGTGCATTCACATCATCTTAGTTGTAAATTAAAGGGTCGAGATAATAATCACCTATGCCTGCTAGTGTCACAAAAAGAGAAACAACTGGACAGTAGGTACCTCCTGACAGAAGTACACAGCACCATCTTTGAAGCATGCTTGCCAAAAATCTAACTTGAGTTAGATCAAGTCGCAAGACAAACTACCAGTTTACAGCAAATACAGGAGACAGAAGCACATGATAAAACACACTACAGGATGCAAACAGCAAAATTTTGAATGTGGAAACGCTACAGGCAAATGCTCCGGTTTCTTCACATATAATATGCAATGGGACAAAAAGAGGCAGGACAAACTTTAAGAGACATATCAACCAAATGCAATGTGTACTTCATATCTGGGTCTTGGAAAATATTTGTGAGACGAACAAGGAAATTGGAACACTGACTGGATATCTGATGCTCTTAATGATTTACTGTCAATTTTGGGGGTGAGATAATGGTACTATAGTTATTTTAAATAATTGATTTGGGGG